TCCTCCTAGAAGACGATATGTTCCAGAGATATTGTTGAGATTGGCTCGTCGGGTCAGCCCTTTTTAGGCCAGACATTTCCTAGTAATGGCTGCTGACAAGCAAGTTCTAGCTCACGCTACCAAGTGCACAGTGTAGTTCAAAAGGCTTCGCATTTCTGGAGGGATATCATAAGTAATAGTTTCAATTCTTTGCTCAGAGTACTTGAGGTTTAGCTCCCTCTATGATTATACGAATGGTCATTTTATTACAGACGTTGAGTTTCTATATAATTGATGTGATTTAATTCTCAAAGAAAATGGAGATTACTGTTTGATATATTTGTGGGAAATGTTTAGTTAGGACACCCCATTCTGAAAAATGGCCAAAAATTGGAAGGTTTGCATTCATGGCCAAATTTTTAAAATGCCCCTAAAGGTTGACATATATTCGAGTAGGCATTTTAAATGAAATGGCGAAAACACCCATATTCCTTGTACGAAATTTACATCCTGAATCCCCAAAAAATTCAATTTCCATTAGCATGTGTTCGGAAAGTTTCTGACTCCCCAAATGTCATATGAACGTCTATTAATTTGCGAAAGCTAGTTTGATTTCACCTAAGAAACTTGTTGATGTCTCTTCAAATTCATTCCCCCCCCCCCCCCCCCCCCGGGCCGCCAAAAAAAAAAAGAAAGAGTCTTCGTTGCATTTTCAGTTACTTCGTTGGAAAATCCCTTGGTTAATTTATGTTGTACTAAATGCATATTCGAATTTTATGTGCAATGTTGCATTTGTATATAACATTGACATTGGGCATTATATTCAATGGAATGTGTGAAATGTACAATACTGTGTTTGCGAAGGAATATGAATTGGTTTAATACGTTTTGTTGATTGTAGTTTGTTGTCCGTGTTTAATTTTGTATTCCAATATTTTTCTGTTAATGTACATTCGAATCTACGATGAAGAAATGTCAAAAATAGTTGGTGTTAACATGTTGAGTTCGGGAGGTTTGAAAATGTCTAGATTTCATCTAAAAATATAGGTTGTTGGGTTAAATCTTGTAAATGCTTGGTAAATCTCGAATCTTCATGGAAATGCCGAGTTTACTAAACAAATATAGAGTACCCTGGTAAATCTAAAAGTGAATTTTGTGCTTATTGATTTTTCACTTATTCTTTCTAATGTTTTGAAAGTTATTATTATTATTTTTTTTTTACGTACAGCCGCTTGGTCTATTCACTTTGAATAATTCCATAGATACAGGGAATTATTGATAGAAATGATACAGATGTTGCCAACACAGCATCTATATGATGCAATTTCTATGTTTGTTTTGTCAAAAACCAATGAAAATCTGTCAAGTGTTTTTCTGTAAAAATTCTCTCAATTTTTTTGTACTTGTAGCAAAACTGATTCATTTTTTCAAAAAATTATATGTTCCATATTTATACTATTTGTGTTTTTATGTCAATTCCACTTTCTTTTTGAAATTTCATCAAATCTATAAAAATTGATGTTACATGTACATTTCTTGTGTACATAATGCATTATACCCTGTCACATAGAAGTGGCTCATATATATTTTCTTGTATGCGGGTACATGTAAGGAGGTGCAATTTATTATATACACAAAAAGTGTACAAGTTAGGTTTGGGCAAAATTCTCGAATCGAACCCGACGATTTTTCTCAAGTTAAATATTCGAACGGATATCTGAATCGAGAACTGACGGTTACGGTTCGATTCTTAGTTCTAGACCAAGAATCGAATGAAAATCGAATCTTCCTAATTTTTTTTATTGAATAAATCAAATTATTTTAATTTTTTCTAAATAAATTAACTAATTATGCGATTGATTGATACTCCATTTCCCAAGCTCTAGCCTAGCTAGCTTGACCCAATCCAACCAATTTCTAAATCCAATTTTTTAACCCAATTATTTGTTTCATTTCTAATTTTTTTTTAAGTGAAAATTACACAAACTAATAGATTTAGAGATCCTATTTCATAAATCATAGGTTAACTTTACTATTTCAAAAATCAGATATTTTATTAATTATAATTAATATATTTTGAATATTATTATAAAATTAAATATACATATTCATCCTACCAAACCCTAAATTTATCTTCATTCATCCATTTCATTTCCTCTCTCTATATCTAACATTCGGTGGGTTTCGATCCTCTCATTATCTCTCTATTCCTCTCCCCTCTTCCCCCTTCTCTCATACCTCTATACCTTCTCTCAAATGTCATCGTCGACGGAAGATGGCTGCCGAAAGATCTTGGTCGAACAAAATTTACAGCGACAGTCATCCTACTGTTCGGTGCTATGTCACAACGTGTGAGGTACCTTGATTTTAGCAGGCACTGCATCACCGCGAACCTTAATAGGTGGTGATCGTGGCGGCGACAGCGATTCAAAGAAATCAGTGCACGACTATGGGGAAGATGGTTCGACGGCTGCAGATGACGATTTGATGTGAATCTAAGGCAAATGTGGTGGTGGTGGTTTTGATTTTAGATTTGATGTCGATGTGGTATTGGTTGTGTTGGCGACGGTGTTAATGGCTGTGTAGGTTGTGGATTTGAGGCTCTATTGAATCAACCAAGTGGTGCAAGCGGGTGCTATTGTAGTGGTGGTGTTGTGTGCGGTGCGGTGGTTAGGTGGTGTTGTGTGCGGTGTAGTGGTTAGGTGGTGGTGGTGCTATGGTACGGTGTGTTGTGTACGGTGCAATGGTTAGGTGGTGGTGCTGTAAGTATGGTGTGTTGCGTGCGGTGCGGCAGCTTGGTGGTGGCGGTGCTGTGGGTGCGGTGTGTTGTGTGAGATGGTGATGTCGACGTGGTGGTGGATAGCTGTGTAGGTTGTGGATTTGAGGCTCTATTGAATCAACCAAGTGGTGCAAGCGGGTGCTATTGTAGTGGTGGTGTTGTGTGCAGTGCGGTGGTTAGGTGGTGGTGGTGGTGGTGTTGTGTGCGGTGTAGTGGTTAGGTGGTGGTGGTGCTATGGTACGGTGTGTTGTGTACGGTGCAATGGTTAGGTGGTGGTGCTGTAAGTACGGTAGTTGTTATGAGGTGGCGGTGGCTTTGTTGGCGGCGGTGCTCTGTTGTTATGGTGGCGACGATGGTGATAGTGATGGTAGATGTGGCGGTCGCGGGGGTGGGAGGAAATGGGGTTGAATGTTTGTGACCAATTATTTGATTGATGGTTGTTATGAGGTGGCGGTGGCTTTGTTGGCGGCGGTGCTCCGTTGTTATGGTGGCGACGATGGTGATAGTGATGGTAGATGTGGCGGTCGCGGGGGTGGGAGGAAATGGGGTTGAATGTTTGTGACCAATTATTTGATTGATCGTGACTAACAATTGATGTATTTGTAATATATGACCTAAAAATTGTGACTGTAATTCACAATTGATTTAGTTGTGATTGAACAATTAATCGTAACTAATTAATCTATTAATTTGTAATGAATTGTGACCAATAAAAATTTTGATTCTGTGACCAAAACAATTTTTTTTATCGTGATTGAAAAATAACATGAGACCTACAAAATTTTTTATCGTGACTGAAAAATAACATGTGACCTATAAAATTTTTCATTTGTGATCGAAAAATAAGTTTTGACCAATAAATTGATAAGTTGTGATTAAAAATTAATCCGTAACTATTAATTTTTTTATTTATGATCGATGAACAAACTGTGACCTGCAAAATTTTCGAATTGTGATCGTATAATAATACACAATTTTTTTTATCGTGATTGAAAAATAACATGAGACCTACAAAATTTTTTATCGTGACTGAAAAATAACATGTGACCTATAAAATTTTTCATTTTTGATCGAAAAATAAGTTTTAACCAATAAATTGATAAGTTGTGATTAAAAACTAATCCGTAACTATTAATTTTTTTATTTATGATCGATGAACAAACTGTGACCTGCAAAATTTTCGAATTGTGATCGTATAATAATTTGTAACATAAAATTTTTAATTTGTGACCAAAAATTAATAAGTAACTAATTAAATCGTTAATTTGTGATCAGATTGTACAGATCTGCGACCCTAATATATTTAATTAATAAATTAATTAGTTAAATCATAAATAATTTTAATAAAAATCTGATTTTTGAAGTTTGAAACTTATTTTCCTAATTTTGAATGTGTGATACTTAAACTCTTACTTATGAAATTTCCCTTATTTTTAATTTTTAGCCCATGTGCTCAACATCGACCCCTTTTTATCATTCCATTTCTTAGCCCAACATCAAACCATTTTTATTCTTTCATTTCTTATTAAATCTTATAAGTTGAACAATTTTTAGTTTATTTATGTTTGTTAATTGTGCTTTTTCAATTTTTTCTGTAGAAATTCTTCGTATGGCAAGTCAAGCAGTTGATGATTAAATCAAATAGTTGGTAAGTATTAGTAATATTTAAAAATAATTATCTCCATGACTTCTAATTCAAGAAATTTTTTTATGTAGACTTGAAGGCTGAAGCAAATGAATTATTGATATGGATCGCCAATATTTTAGTATTGGTATCTACTTTTTGGTATTTGTATATGTTGGTAAATAATCTTATTGGAGAACTTGTTATTTATATGTTTTTGAATCGGACTTCGTTAATTTGTAAAAGTTATGGGTGAATCTGTTATTAGTTGTATTTATGTAGTGTTGTTGTAAATGTTAAAAAATGTAATTATGGTACGGAACTGAATTGAACAGAACAGAACCCAAACAGTTCCATAATTAAATTTGGATCCAACGAGTCTACTTACTAAATACCCGAAATTTTCGGTTTGATTCGGTTCTCCCAACCCTAGTACAAGTAAACTAATTCATTTGTTAAAAAACGCTCTTTCTTGTTTCGCATACCCCCCCCCCCCCCGCCACCCTCCCACACGCTTTCCTTCCCCCAGTTTCCTTTGCAATCAGCATAAAATGTAAAAACACAAACCGTACAAGTAACCCACAATCAAAACTCTTTTCCCGCCATAAACCAAGCGGTTAAATAACCGTTTTTTTAAGTGTATACCAATCTGTGGATACAAAACGCATACATATTTTCTATTTTTGTTCATTCTGTGATGCATCATCATCCACAATGTCTCTTCTTATTAAATTCTACTCTACTGTAATAATTTCACTCCTGCTACTCTCTTCAACTACCGCAGTATCCTACGCCAAATATCTCCGGAAATTCTCTTCGTTTCCACACTCAATTTCAGGTACTCTCTTACTAAAGAATTATTATGAAATAAAAGGACAAAAATGGGTCTTTTATCATTTTTCATGTTTCATCCTGTTGTTCTGATTTTTTGCTCGGTGAAAATAATAAACGTCGATGCAATGTACGAGGGTTAAGTAGAGGACGTTTAAATTTAACATGATGATGACATGGGTAGTTGTTATTAACTTTTGAGACAAAATAGGAGGGAGTAATCTTGTCGATGGGCTGATCCTGCAGCAGAACCCATCATGGAGAATAATCGCTCGTTCAGCTTAAAAAAAGATCCAAAATAGGGTTTTGAGATTGCATCTAGACATCGCCAGGCCAGGACAGTCAGGTTTGGCTGTGACCTCGAATTTCCTTTTAAGATTTCTGAAGCCGACATGAGTATTAATATGTTCATCCGATCCATACCTATTGAAGGAACAGATCCAGTATCTGATCAGTTTTCCATGCTTTCCATAAAATTAACTGCCCATTTTAATCTGATTTATGGGTTGGAAAGAGTAAAATCCTTATGCAGAACATATGCATAGAATGTGTCGCATACAGTGGGAATTTGTTTTAAGCAAAATGAATTGCGCTAAAGATGCCAACATATGAGGTTTTGTTCTTCAAAATTACATCATTGTATCTTTAATCTTAATACCATGTGATGAGTGTTGGCTGAGGCCTAAATGATATATGAACACTGGGTGTTGTTCAGTATTTATTATGCTTGATGGTTTTACTTAAAGAGCAAATTTCAAGTGTCCATATGGTAATAATGTTGCGGTGCCATTTAAGACAATCTTATTCCTTATATTATAGAGGTATGGTCTCTACAACTATCAGGCAAAATTTCCTGTATCATGCGACTGAACTAACTTGGCAGCGTCCTGTTTCAGCCGAGGAGCCCTTGAAGAAACCTGCTTCTAGACTTTCCAGGAACTTCATTGGAGATGATGGGCGGGTTTACGCTTGTTCAGGGAGAAATCTCTTTTCCTTTGAGAGCAATGGTACCATTGCCTGGACTGTACCATTAAATTATACATGCAACGTCAATTTAGCTCCAGTACATGGAGGGTCAAGAAAGGCAAGGTTCTGACTTGATTTCTTTCTTTCAGAAACATAAACTACATACAGTATAAAGTTTCTTTTCCCATTATACGCAGCCTTTAAAAATACATAAATTCTGTTTCCACGGGCACTATTAGTCCACTATGAATTTATCCATCTGGAACAAAATCTTTATATCCACACTTTCATTAATTTCGTAAAGTCGTTTGTTCGCAGATATATTTGGTTGCAGAAAATAGAGTACTAAAAGTCAATCCTTTAAAAATTCACACTTCTGAGGCTGCTGTAGAAATATTTTTTGATGCAGAAGTATCAGGAGAAATTACTGGAGTTGCTGTAAGCATATTCAGCTCATGTGTACTCATTAATGTTGAGAACAGGGGGCTTTTTGCATATAGGTTATATGGGCAACTTCTATGGAGTGCTGGTCCAGTACTTTATCAGCATGGATATCGCAAAGGTTGTAGGAAAAATGTTACTGATTGCTATTTTACTTCAATACCTGTGATTGATCACTGTGAAGCTAGTATATATGTAAGCTCCAAATCTTTGATTATTTTTCTTATCCGTTGACTGTATTTTTCTTAGTTGTATGTCACTGAGGTGGATTCGTGAATTTGGAGGTTCTAAAATATTATTGCCTTCAGTCATTTCGCCACTAAAGTAAATGAACGTTTCCTATGATCTTCGAGGATTCCTGAGGATTTTAATGATGTGTGCGATCTTAATCTTGTCCTGCTTACCTCTGTGTTCATGACATTAAATAATTTGAACATCAGTTAGCCGTCGTGTATTTGTGCTTTTCATGTCCTTTTCACTTGCAGATCTCAAACACTGTAGGGGAACTCTACTCATTATCAGTCCGTGGACCTCATTTTAAATGGATCCAAGATTTGAGCTCATTTGACGATAAATATACACTTACTCCTGGAAATAATGGTCGATTGTATGTCACTATACCCCTTAGAGCTGTCATTCTTGCATTGGATGTTTCCACGGGAAATATTTTGTGGGAAGGAAAAATCGGACCATTAAGTTCGTCAGATTATGAGCCAGTTGTTGATTCTAATGGTAAGATGAAATCTGTCTATCAGTTTATCCTGCAACAAATTGTTGTTAGATATGATTGATAAAAACTCAAGTTAAGAATACAGTATGTATTCAACACTGAAGGGCTCCTAATTCAAATTCTGAATTTCTGACAGTTCTCTGGATAATGCAAAGATGCTCATTCAGTTACAGTTGATTGAATACCAGGTTGGATATCTATTGGCTCGTTGGATGGATTCCTGTATTCATATTCTCCAACAGGAGCTCTCAGAAAATTCTCAAATCTTGCTAGCGTGAATTCTGTAATCCAAGTTAGTCCTGTACTTGACTGCTCGGGGTATGCAGTTAACATAATACAGACCGAAATGGATGGAAAAATGTCCCAGACAATTGGAGGATATACTTATGTATCGGCAATGAAACCAAGAAATATTGTTTTCACATTGCTTATTCCAGCTTCTGGTTCTATATACTGGACTGAAAGTGATCCCGGTAATTTTAATCTGCAATCCTCTCTCCCCACCCGGTGTTCTGTATGAGCTAATGTTTTTTTCATCTGCCCTTTGTAACTTGATTAATTTTTTTATCTGTTTCGCAATAGAATATTAAAGTATTTTGTACTGGATGAAAGAAATTGACGTAATTGGTTGTTTGTACAGGTCGATTGTCAGCCAAGTTGTCCCAGGGTGATCTGAAGCATTTTATACTGGATGAAAGAATGCTTCTAGCTATTTTTGCTGCTTCAAGTTAGTTTGTGCTTCTGTGTGTGTCCAAATGTAGCATAGTGAGTCTGTGGGTTTCTTTGAGCAGGATTGTATAAATTTTGAACTTGCCTTCGCATGGTTAATTTTCAGTAGACCTCAAGAAAGTCTACAGCCTGGATTTTTATGTGTATGGTCAAAAACATTATTCATATGAGATCGAATTGATATAGTTAGTAACCAGATTGAAGGGTCACTCATCTGTAGGGCATATAAAAGCCTTACTGTGTGTGTCCAAATGTAGCATAGTGAGTCTGTGGGTTTCTTTGAGCAGGATTGTATAAATTTTGAACTTGCCTTCGCATGGTTAATTTTCAGTAGACCTCAAGAAAGTCTACAGCCTGGATTTTTATGTGTATGGTGAAAAACATTATTCATATGAGATCGAATTGATATAGTTAGTAACCAGATTGAAGGGTCACTCATCTGTAGGGCATATAAAAGCCTTGTTTCTGAGCTGAATTAACATAGTTGATTTCCTTTTCAAAAATTCTTCAGTCATGTATCGATCACTTGAATCTCTAGTTGCATTTAAGCCTTAAATGTCTATTTTTTTCGTCATGCAGGGAATGGAAATCCATTGCCTTGCCGTACCATGCGTAACTTTCTTTTACCCGTCCCAGCAACTTATGCTTATGCACCAGAAATAAATACTTCTGTAAGTGGCTTATTCTGTATTTTTCTGCTCTAAGTATCCTGTACTTCCTCCAGGTCAGAAGCTTGCGTCTAGCTGCTCAGGAGGGAGGCCCAAGAGTATCAACATCTACACAGGTAACTTGGCACTATAAAGTGATTTTGTTACCTTCAACAACTGAGATCTGGTATTTTCCTCTATGCAGGTAACAAGAGGACGATTCTGTTATTTCTTTTGTTTGAATCAATACTACTGATGGTACTAGCAATAGTCGTACGATATTGCCTCACGTTTTGGAAGAAAAAGAAGCTTCAAAAACTCGACCTTGGGGAGTTTCTAGAGAAAAGAGTAAGCTTTAGTTCATTATTCTCTCTCAACAGTATTAATTTCATGAACGAACAGCTTCTTGATGTAGATTGGCTACTAGTTTACCGCTGTTCATTGAACCATTCACATTATGTAGCGTTCTCTACGACTCCAGAAGCAAGCATTTGATAGGACGATTACAGAGCTTGAACAAAAAGCTGCAGAGGAAGCAGTAGCCCACGAAGTACTGGAGAAACTCAGTGATTTGGTTAAAGAAAGGGAAGGCATAAAGAGAAAGCTCTCAACAACCTACAGTTTAGGCAGGGACCGGGCAGAACCAAAGTCGAAATCCCTACTTCCGGTATACAATGGAAAAACTAAAAGTTACTCTTTTCAAGGCTCTATGAAGGAGAGCTTTACCGTATTTCACACGTTCAGCGACTCTTCGTCTGCAGACAGCAGCAGCAAAGAAGAGCGTGATAAGAATCCTACCGAACATAAAGAACTGGCAGTCGAGGCTAAGGGGAAGGGTCCAGTAGAAGACGATACTTCTAGTGATGATGAGATTCACACGAAAGAGTATAGGGCGGAATCAAGCCTAAAAGGTACTGTCAATCCATTGATTCGAGATCATTCATTCAGTGAAATAGAGGAAGTGAAAATGAAGAGTGACGAAAAGGTAAAAGGAATTGTTCATAGTCGCGGTGGGAACATCAGGAAGAGAAGCATGTCCTCAACTAACTAGCTACTGCAACATTCTGTTCAACTAACTAGCTACTGCAACATTCTGTTCTAGGTTGTCTTTTAAAAACAGATGATACATAGAAATGAAGTTCCACACTATTTTTTTCAGTCACGACAATTTTTGTCATGCTGTAAAGTGGTTTTATCGAGCTAATGGTTTTATATGTGCACGTCAGCAACTCGACTACCTCTTCTTATACCTGTTAAATTTGTTAAGAAAAGCTACTTTGATGACATGAGAGAAAACAAACTTTTTTTAATCGTGTTCAGATAGGTGTCAAATATTGGATTGATTGCAGTTCCATTATTATTTCGGCTGTAGTTCGCGGGAATTAGATAAAAATGGATTACAAATATTAACAATTATTGATTACACGTCTATCAACCCCTTCAATTCAAAAGAACAGTAGTCCTATATCAAACTATCTGGAAATGATGAATGTGCAGCCGGTACTATACTGACAATTGTTTGAGGAATCGGACTGTGCTGGACAGACAGGACCACTATCCGTACGCGCCCCCTCATTGCTCGCTCTGTTTGGACAGGGCTGTCCAAGAAGATTTATCTTTGAGGAACCATCTTGCACTTTTAGAAATGGAGACCACATCTTGCAATTGGGGTAGTAACTGGAGGCGATGTCTGAGAATGAATGTATTGAAGATGCTCTTATTGACTTAATAGAAAAGAAATACGAAGAGAAGTATGCAAAAAAATGAAGTGAAATTTGTTTGAGTAAGATGACCTCGTTGTCTCATAAATATAAAAGAAAATATATTTTGAGTAATTGGCTTCAAGCTGTCAAACATTTAGTGAAATTTATATTTAATTAATAAGAACTATATGAACTCTATTAAAATAATATACATGAGGAAAATCATAAGTTATAATTATATACAATGGATGGTTATATTCACCCCATATCTATATTTTTATATATAGATACGTTATTTTTTAATTAAAATAAAGGTCATTAACCATTATTTATTATCATGTTTTTATCCTTAATTTTTTTCCTCACATACTTATTTTTAACATTTCATCAATCAAAAAATAGCCCTCAATCACAGTTATCCAAAAAAAATTGTCGACGTTCTTTAAAATGAGGATCAAATTTTTAGTTGTATTTTCGCATTATCATTTTGTTTCTGAGCTGAATTAACATAGTTGATTTCCTTTTCAAAAATTCTTCAGTCATGTATCGATCACTTGAATCTCTAGTTGCATTTAAGCCTTAAATGTCTATTTTTTTCGTCATGCAGGGAATGGAAATCCATTGCCTTGCCGTACCATGCGTAACTTTCTTTTACCCGTCCCAGCAACTTATGCTTATGCACCAGAAATAAATACTTCTGTAAGTGGCTTATTCTGTATTTTTCTGCTCTAAGTATCCTGTACTTCCTCCAGGTCAGAAGCTTGCGTCTAGCTGCTCAGGAGGGAGGCCCAAGAGTATCAACATCTACACAGGTAACTTGGCACTATAAAGTGATTTTGTTACCTTCAACAACTGAGATCTGGTATTTTCCTCTATGCAGGTAACAAGAGGACGATTCTGTTATTTCTTTTGTTTGAATCAATACTACTGATGGTACTAGCAATAGTCGTACGATATTGCCTCACGTTTTGGAAGAAAAAGAAGCTTCAAAAACTCGACCTTGGGGAGTTTCTAGAGAAAAGAGTAAGCTTTAGTTCATTATTCTCTCTCAACAGTATTAATTTCATGAACGAACAGCTTCTTGATGTAGATTGGCTACTAGTTTACCGCTGTTCATTGAACCATTCACATTATGTAGCGTTCTCTACGACTCCAGAAGCAAGCATTTGATAGGACGATTACAGAGCTTGAACAAAAAGCTGCAGAGGAAGCAGTAGCCCACGAAGTACTGGAGAAACTCAGTGATTTGGTTAAAGAAAGGGAAGGCATAAAGAGAAAGCTCTCAACAACCTACAGTTTAGGCAGGGACCGGGCAGAACCAAAGTCGAAATCCCTACTTCCGGTATACAATGGAAAAACTAAAAGTTACTCTTTTCAAGGCTCTATGAAGGAGAGCTTTACCGTATTTCACACGTTCAGCGACTCTTCGTCTGCAGACAGCAGCAGCAAAGAAGAGCGTGATAAGAATCCTACCGAACATAAAGAACTGGCAGTCGAGGCTAAGGGGAAGGGTCCAGTAGAAGACGATACTTCTAGTGATGATGAGATTCACACGAAAGAGTATAGGGCGGAATCAAGCCTAAAAGGTACTGTCAATCCATTGATTCGAGATCATTCATTCAGTGAAATAGAGGAAGTGAAAATGAAGAGTGACGAAAAGGTAAAAGGAATTGTTCATAGTCGCGGTGGGAACATCAGGAAGAGAAGCATGTCCTCAACTAACTAGCTACTGCAACATTCTGTTCAACTAACTAGCTACTGCAACATTCTGTTCAACTAACTAGCTACTGCAACATTCTGTTCAACTAACTAGCTACTGCAACATTCTGTTCAACTAACTAGCTACTGCAACATTCTGTTCAACTAACTAGCTACTGCAACATTCTGTTCAACTAACTAGCTACTGCAACATTCTGTTCAACTAACTAGCTACTGCAACATTCTGTTCTAGGTTGTCTTTTAAAAGCAGACGATACATAGAAATGACGTTCCACACTATTTTTGCAGTCACGACAATTTTTGTCATGCTGTAAAGTGGTTTTATCGAGCTAATGGTTTTATATGTGCACGTCAGCAACTCGACTACCTCTTCTTATACCTGTTAAATTTGTTAAGAAAAGCTACTTTGATGACATGAGAGAAAACAAACTTTTTTTAATCGTGTTCAGATAGGTGTCAAATATTGGATTGATTGCAGTTCCATTATTATTTCGGCTGTAGTTCGCGGGAATTAGATAAAAATGGATTACAAATATTAACAATTATTGATTACACGTCTATCAACCCCTTCAATTCAAAAGAACAGTAGTCCTATATCAAACTATCTGGAAATGATGAATGTGCAGCCGGTACTATACTGACAATTGTTTGAGGAATCGGACTGTGCTGGACAGACAGGACCACTATCCGTACGCGCCCCCTCATTGCTCGCTCTGTTTGGACAGGGCTGTCCAAGAAGATTTATCTTTGAGGAACCATCTTGCACTTTTAGAAATGGAGACCACATCTTGCAATTGGGGTAGTAACTGGAGGCGATGTCTGAGAATGAATGTATTGAAGATGCTCTTATTGACTTAATAGAAAAGAAATACGAAGAGAAGTATGCAAAAAAATGAAGTGAAATTTGTTTGAGTAAGATGACCTCGTTGTCTCATAAATATAAAAGAAAATATATTTTGAGTAATTGGCTTCAAGCTGTCAAACATTTAGTGAAATTTATATTTAATTAATAAGAACTATATGAACTCTATTAAAATAATATACATGAGGAAAATCATAAGTTATAATTATATACAATGGATGGTTATATTCACCCCATATCTATATTTTTATATATAGATACGTTATTTTTTAATTAAAATAAAGGTCATTAACCATTATTTATTATCATGTTTTTATCCTTAATTTTTTTCCTCACATACTTATTTTTAACATTTCATCAATCAAAAAATAGCCCTCAATCACAGTTATCCAAAAAAAATTGTCGACGTTCTTTAAAATGAGGATCAAATTTTTAGTTGTATTTTCGCATTATCATTTTTCATACTTATCTAAAAATACATAGGCAAATAAGTCTTGTAACTCCATCTTAAAGAAAATTTTGAAAACAAACCATCATTAGATCAATTTATATTAATTTCAAAATAAAAGTGCAATGAAAATCTTTTTTAGACAAAAATAATAATGTGAATGTGTAAGGATTATGAATACAAAGAGATAACAGAAGTGCCAACTAGGGTATTAAATATCAAGATCCCTCTCTCCATGGACACGAATACACAGACAATTCAAGAAGAAAACCGACCACTTCCGTTCATAACTTAAAACTTCAGCAATTGACCTAAAATTTGTTAAAGATGAGAAAGGCTGAATTTGCCTCCTGCGTCCTGAATTTCAATTTTTCTTGACATGCATGGCAAAGGGAGGACAACAATGTCATTGATAAACGTTACATAAAATTAGAGGATGAAAACAGTGTGATAATACAACAATTCAACCACCCTCAATGGAGCACGAATTATTAGTTTACAATAATTGAATATACATCTAATTATGTACACTGACCCCCTTCAATTCAAAAGAATGTTTGTCCTGTGATTTCCCTCCTACATGAACGTCTTTCCTGGTTAGCAAAAATTTTGCATCAGCCATCGCCCAATTGTCCACATTGGATTTGAAATAATCCCTATGTCAGCCTATCTGTGGGGTGAAGAATGTGCAGTACCATACTGGCCATAGTTTGAGGAACCATCTTGCACTAGAGAGCTTCTTCTACCTCTGTCCGACGAGGATCGGCCATGACGACTAGATCTAGCACTAGGGGAAGAGAAACTGGAGTCATAACCACCATATCTATGAGAATGATTTGAGGGTCGACGTCCAGGATCAACTCCAGGAGGACTATCATCTTCAAAATCACTGGACCACTTTTGTTGATGATAGTGCCGTCTGCTGAAGTTTTCAGACGAGTGGTTATGTCCACGGTATGAACCATCTCTAGAAACATTGTATCTTGAAGACCCAGTTGCCCAAAGTCTTTCGTCTGCATTTTCTGGTATTGGAGCATTTATTCCAGGAAATTTAACACTCATTTTCTTGGATGGCTCAGCAGCAGTTGGATGAAGAATTTCCCCCTCTTCAGTTTCTTCCTTAGTTGATTCATCAGCAAAAATTGTAATCCCTGAAGGCTGGTCATCAACATCTGGATCTGAAAATTCAGAAAAAACAACCGCGGTGGGAACATCAGGAAGAGAAGCATGTCCTCAACTAACTAGCTACTGCAACATTCTGTTCTAGGTTGTCTTTTAAAAGCAGACGATACATAGAAATGACGTTCCACACTATTTTTGCAGTCACGACAATTTTTGTCATGCTGTAAAGTGGTTTTATCGAGCTAATGGTTTTATATGTGCACGTCAGCAACTCGACTACCTCTTCTTATACCTGTTAAATTTGTTAAGAAAAGCTACTTTGATGACATGAGAGAACAAACTTTTTTTAATCGTGTTGAGGTAGGTGTCAAATATTGGATTGATTGCAGTTCCATTATTATTTCGGCTGTAGTTCGCGGGAATTAGACAAAAATGGATTACAAATATTAACAATTATTCACACGTCTATCAACCCCTTCAATTCAAAAGAACAGTAGTCCTATATCAAACTATCTGGAAATGATGAATGTGCAGCCGGTACTATACTGACAATTGTTTGAGGAATCGGACTGTGCTGGACAGACAGGACCACTATCCGTTCGCGCCTCCTCATTGCTCGCTCTGTTTGGACAGGGCTGTCCAAGAAGATTTATCTTTGAGGAACCATCTTGCACTTTTAGAATTGGAGACCAGATCTTGCAATTGGGGTAGTAACTGGAGGCGATGTCTGAGAATGAATGTATTGAAGATGCTCTTATTGACTTAATAGAAAAGAAATACGAAGAGAAGTATGCAAAAAAATGAAGAGAAATTTGTTTGAGTGAGATGATCTCGTTGTCTCATAAATATAAAAGAAAATATATTTTGAGTAATTGGCTTCAAGCTGTCAATCATTTAGTGAAAATTATATTTTATTAATAAGAACTATATAAACTCTATTAAAAATAATATACATGAGGAAAATCATAAGCCATAATTATATACAATGGATGGTTATATTCACCCCACATATATATTTTTTTATATAGATACGTTATTTTTTAATTACTATAAAGGTCATTAACCATTATTTATTATCATGTTTTTATCCTTAATTTTTTTCATCATATACTTATTTTTAACATTTCATCGATCAGAAAATAGTCCTCAATCACAGTTATCCAAAAAAAATTGTCGACGTTCTTTAAAATGAGGATCAAATTTTTAGTTGTATTTTCGCATTATCATTTTTCATACTTATCTAAAAATACATAGGCAAATAAGTCTTGTAACTCCATCTTAAAGAAAATTTTGAAAACAAACCATCATTAGATCAATTAATATTAATTTCAAAATGAAAGTGCAATGAAAATCTTTTTTAGACAAATATAATAATGTGAATGTGTAAGGATTATGAATATGACTATGCCAATATTGATATACCCCGAGGAGTGTATCCCGAGGACTCAATCTATACCCCACCTCATTTCTCTTCTTCGGTCCTCGAGGTCATCTAAGTCCTCGAGATATTGTAGTCCTCGAAATACCTCGAGGACACATTTACATTCCCTCAATGTCCTCGAGAATAGTCCTCGAGACATACACCACCAACATACCTCCTAAGACCTGGGTACCTAACTAACAAACCTAAATACCCAAGGATTCTACATCAACCCTAACACCACTTGTCAAACAATTCCATTACAAGTAGGACATTCTTTATAATAGAAATTCCCTTGGATAAAAACATCCAACCAACACAATCCTACTAGAAGTACACTACCTACTCCTATAAAAGCAGAACCTTGGGCCATTATTCAGGTACGTTTTCTCATTGTTCTTCAGCACATAGCCTCACGCATATATTTCCCTTTCTGACTTAAGCATCGGAGGGGCGACGAGAACACACCTCGTTGCCTTTGTTTCAGGTATCGGAAGATCACGTTCGTGCGCTCAGCAGCAGTTGGATGAAGAATTTCCCCCTCTTCAGTTTCTTCCTTAGTTGATTCATCAGCAAAAATTGTAATCCCTGAAGGCTGGTCATCAACATCTGGATCTGAAAATTCAGAAAAAACAAGATGAAAGAAAATTTGAAGACGTGCACTTCACACACACAACACAAAACAAAAGGACATTAAAGAAGAAAATCTAAAAGCTGCTAAATCCCCTGCCATCCAGTGCACAGAGAACTATTTTAACAAATCACCAAGATGAAAAAATGTTTAATTGTTTTCTCTACCTAAATAACCCGGTGGATATCCTATTTCCCGCATTCTGTTAAACCATGGAGGTGGATCAAGATCCTATACAATAAAAAAAGAATGATAATGAGTGTAGACTAATTATGACAGTTCTAATGGTAAGTTAAAATTAAATGTAATCTAAACTTAACAACCTACTCGACAAATATTCATGCTCACATAAAACTGTCCATGAACAAAGACACATAACCTAAATCATCTCAGAGCAAGATTATCTCACCCCAAGTCCTAAAAGTTTCCGCGTCTCATAATCAAGTACGCCTGGCCTTAAACCGTCATATTTTCCTCCAGGAGAGCTGTGAAAATACCGAGTGGGATTACGAGAACTGGTATTTTGATTACGTCTGGTCTTGTGCTGTTTTCGGGCATTATTGATGGTAACATTGTCACGGGGCTTAGGACATTCTTTAAGTGCATGGCTGTAAGAACTACAGTTGAAGCAACGGGAATTATCTAACATTTCCAAGCCTCTGCGCAAATTAAACATGGGTTTGCAGTTCAGCCAGATAAAGTTGAATAATTTACTCTTAAGACAACTAAAATAAATTCAAAGGGTGCTGGATATACCAAGATTTTAACTAATTGATGTGTTATCTTCAAGTTGCCATGGTTTTTTTTAAGAATATCAACAATTCGACAATAAATTAAAACCAACAAATGAAAATAACCAAATAAACATGAACCAACACATAAATAAAAGAAAAACACACCCATCCAAATTATTGTAAGCATTATATAATGCTATTTAAATTTAGCCCTTGTTTGATCCATACATTTCCAAAATACATTTCCCTCTCTCTTCTTTTCAACTATACATTCTTCAATAAAATAATATTACATGCAAACTCAACCTCACATTTTCCATCAATCTACCATTCCAAAATGCATTCTTAGATTATAATGGGGCTCAAACAGGCTCTTAGTGACTAATTGGGTAAAAAATATACTTCCAAGGATCAATTGGAATTTTGCTTGAACTTAGAGACCATTTGTGATTTTAAATCTAACATCGACATTGATATAATTCTCTTTAATTTTCTTATCTTTTAAAAATATTTCTTTAACATTAAACTTCTGATAATAAATAAACATTGTGAATAAACTACACTGTAATTGCAATATTTCTACAAGTGCATGTTTACCATGCAGTAATGATTAAAAATCTAATTTCCTTTTCTTCCTTAATTTACTGCTTAGGTGTTACCATACGTCTGATTTTAAGATTAGCCAAATGGTCATAAATTAACCAGAATATATTTTCTTCCAAGTTTTTGTCATGGCATGATTTATTAGTAATACATAAATAGACATAAAGTGCTTATCGGTGTATGATTTCTCCATTCTAATTCATATTATCAATTTATCCCCAGTTTTTTTTTTCTTTTTTCCTTAGAGAAAGGTAATTTATCCCCAGTTATAGCAATGGGATTCGCAAGTTAAATTAAACAGAAATGAAAAAGGCCTATCTCCGTGAATCTTAAGATCCTTTTCTCAACACATATGTGCAGAACCAAAACATAAATAACAGAGAAAAACATACCCATCCAAATTAATGGAACCATCAGTTGAAGTCAGAGCCGAAGAATATCCACGGTCATAAAGAGGGACAGAATTGCCATCCAATGGTATAAACACATCGCTTTGTTGATTGCTTATTTGGTTGTCCACCCAAAAGGTCTACATAGAGTAGAGTGCATGAGAACAAACCACATATTCACAAACTATCGAGGTAAAAAGCAACAACATCTATTGCCAGACATTCTATTAACAAAAAGGTAACATCATGTGAGCATATAAGAGTCATTTTATTTGGAAGTAAGTATTCCATTGGAAGGGTTATGACAGGAATACAAATCCAGGCAGATGGCATATCAAAATCAGGAATGCATTCTTAAATTGGAACTCTACATCTATATCCTGTACAAAGATGAATTTCAAAGCATCTGAAACCATCAAAGGAACTATTTTTTCAGGCATAGTTGAAGGGCCCGTTTGGCATGGCTTTTGAAAAGCCAAAAGGAAAGCTTGAGACCCAAAAGCTGCTTTTAAAATTTAGTTTTCAAACAAAAATTAAGGAGTTTTGGAGACCCAAAAGCTCTTCTACAAGAAGTAAAAGCAAAAGTCATACCCTACAGGCCTGAACACTGATAATAGCTCCAGCAAAAGTGATGACAAGCCAATGATGATGATAATCAAGTCAATTTTACATTATCAATAATTCCTCTCATCCTTAAAATAGTCAGACACTAGTGTATGCCAACAGCACTATCCTCAATAGGAATATTTTATTTACTCAGACACTAATAAACAATTGAATTGGTAGTTATATGGCCATAAAATTTAAACTTATAAGCCAGGTTGAAGCCTGACCAAATGGATATAAAAGTTATATGGCCACAAAATAGGCCATATGCCCAATTGGAAAATGCAAATCTCTCTAAGTCATTTTTACTTTGGGGTATCTGAAGGGAATTAAACACGCATGAGAGTTATATCCAGCAAATTGCTCATGAACTCAAAATCCTGACAAGAAAATAAATAGAAGTCATTGCATTTTTTTTCTCAAGTCAGATAATCATAGTTTTTAAATATTAAAGTCCTCAGTTTTATTTCACGAAATGCATGTCAAGGTAATGCTTTAGATCCACCACTGGAAACGAGTACTACAGCAAGATAAAATCATACCACTGCAGAAGGCTTATCCACACCAACACAAAGAGCCGGGAAGTAAGTCTCTTCGCCAGATTCTAAAACTTCCTTTGAATCCTAAGTTGAACAGACATCCAGGTTAGCACTTCAGTAACATTAAGATTGTGTAAATGAAATTAAAATGAACAGCATAAAAGGTAAAACTATATTAAGGGTGTCACACAACAGAATAAGAATGTATAAAGATACAATCAATTCTGCCCATGACAAGTAGGGAGTTTCTCGACAATAAATCAAGGTAAGAAAATAAGAGACTATACTGTAAGAATTCAAGCAAACAGCATTTCTCATACAAATACATCAGGCTTACATTTGATGACGAGCAGATTTGTGCGTGCGACCATGACCACTGCTGTAATAGCTCCTCCAGCTTTCTTTTACTTTCTCTGAGAAAGATAACAAACTCGACAGTTGTCAGATGCCTATAGGAGAAATATTTTTGAAAAAAATGCACTATAATTGTTCATACTTAGTAGTTCATACCTGGTCAGAGAATTATAAATAACACGTACCGAAGCTTGTTTGTCATCATCACTTAATCGGGGTCTCTTAACCCCAGATATTGCTAGGAGGTCAAGTTATGAAACATACAAAACTGGAATACTGGGAATTATGTAGCAAATGAAATATGAAAATTAAAATATATGTGTGTGTGTGAGAGAGAGAGAGAGCAGGATACAACTAGCATCCACTCCCCGATCACTGACAAGGGTTACATCTCTTTTATGATTATTAAAACTAGTTTCGTCTTCATCAGCTAAATACCCATTCTCAGCACGCGCCACAGAGCTGATACAAGTAATCTTCTCCGGTGCTGCAAAAGCTTCAGTCAATTCAAAACTCACTGGCAGAGTAGACGTGCTACCAAATCGATCTTTTTCACCATCAATTTCCATTGAAGTTCCCTTCTTTTCATGTACACCATCAGAGGTCTCTTCATTGATCCCATCTTTGACCTTGGAGTTTACAGGTAAAGAATCAATTTCACTGGACTCACAACCAGATTGCTGTAATCCATTATTCTCAGTTCCACTTCGAGAAATACTGGAAGCAGGAAGGTTGATGAAATCCTCGGTTTTTATAGGCTGGAGCATACGCCCCATGGTACAAAGTGCACTGGTTGCATGTAATATATCAGTAAAAATATCAAGAATCTACTGAATAGGTATCTGAATGAAGTTACTAGTTACTACTCAATAGGCATCTAAATGAAGTCAATAGTTAGTACTCAACAGGTATCTAAATGAAGTCGATAGTTAGTACTCAATAGAAGTAATTCAGAATCGCTCTCTATTCCTATCCTCAATTCTTAAGAAATAACTACCATCTATTTTATGTCACCTTAATTGATTTAATAAATCTTTGCTCCAGCTCTTCTTCGTGACAGAAGTCATGAAAGGGAAATTTCTCTGGTTTTCTAATATCATATAGTGATGCATACAAATGAATCCACTCTATCAAAATAGCAACAAGCAATAACTGTAAAAAGAATGTTTTAATAACAAAAAAGCTTGAACGGGAAATACAAAAACTATGCTGGCCCCTTTTTTGCATTGAAATCAAAAGTCCAGATCAAAATCTAGGACAGATGGATTTAAATTTATATCTTAAACTTTTTTCCAAATTCAAGTATAGCATTGCAGTTTCATGTGAAAAAAAACTCGATTTTAGCTCCAAAATGACAAACTTTCACCATGGGTCGAATCCAATTAGTCCATAACAGCTCGACCATATAAACACATTAAGCTATATCAACGAGAAAAAAATATAATCAATCAATTTCAATTAAAATACCAAAACCAGAAAACGGAAGTCACAGCTTTCGGGTTTAGGCATCATATTTTGGCCAAAAGTTCAATCGAAAACGTACCGACCGAAAAACGAATTCTGCCAAATTAACATTGGGTTTTACTTAATTGAAATGAGTAAGGAAAATACGATTCAACTTCCGATTCAAATAAGATGGAGAGGAATAGATAAAAAGCAGAAAAGCGAAGTTAGGGTTTTCGATTCACCTTGAAGTTAGGAACTCGACTATGCCGACAATTGAGAAACCAAAGCACTGAACTGGTGAAGCCAGAAAGCCAAGATACCGATGAGGATCGAAAATTTGATTCAAGAAATCGCAGTATTGCGTGCGTATCGAATCGGAAACTACGTGTTTATTTTATGCAGAGGATTGGAGCGTGGTTCGTGCAGCTGTACACAAAGAATATCCTAAAACTCCATGACAACGTTGTTGGACTGCGAAATAAAAGTTATCCAAATTTTTCAAAAAAAATAATAATAATAATTAAATTAAAATTTCTTTAATTCGGGAAACAAGATTTTCATGTGTATGTATATTTATTCAATAATCAATAATAAAAAATTCAAATTTTTACCTAAATTAAATGGTTAATTCTTGAATTTAATTTGAATTACGAACTTTCAATTTTTTGGATGACAAGCATCCTGCCTTTAATTTGAAGAAATTTATGCACCAAACTTCAGAGTGTTGTATCATATCCTTTAAAGTCGAGACTATACACTTTCTTTTAATTAAATCAAGAAACGAATTCTTTGACTTTACAAATAGGGCTGGGCAAATCTCCTGAACCGAACCGAATCGAATCGATCGAACCGAACCCGACGGTTCTTGTCAAATTAAATACCCGAACGGGTATCTGAATTGAGAACCGACGGGTATGGTTCGGTTCTCGATTCTAGACCTAGAACCGAAGAACCGAATCTTTCTAATTTTATTTTTTTTATATTGAGTAAATTAAATTATTTTAATTTTTTCTAAACAAATTAATAAATTAACAATTTCTAAATCCAAAATTTTGGCCCAATAATTTGTTTCATTTCTAATTTTTTAATTTTTGGCCCAATTACCCATTTTATTGTTTCATTTCTTAGCCAAACAAGATCAAATCCACTAAATAACCCTAAACACCAACACCAAAGTGCATAACGTTGTCTTGACTCTCGCACTCACTCTCGCAGCCTCGTTAATATTCCAAAACATATACAATTATCGGTCGACACTATGACCTCCGATCGAAACTGTGACATTCGCCAACCGAAACTTTGATTGTAGCGATCATTTGAACAGGGTAGTTTACTGGTCTCTAACATTCCAAAACCATTGAATGTATCATTAGTTGTATTTATATAATGTTTTTATAAATGTTAAAAAATTTAATTATAGTACAGAACCGAACCGAACTCGAACGGTTCCATAATTATATTTGGACCCGACGGTTCCATTTACTAGATACCCGAAAAGTTCGGTTCGGTTCGGTTCTCTTTAGAACCGAACTGAACCGACCCGCGCCCACCCCTATTTACAAATGATCAAAGCAAGAAAATAATTTTCTCTTCCAATTTGAACGCTATAGAATAATTATTGAATTGTATTGTTATCGGATTCTATATTACATCTAGTCTTGTTGTAGAGAAAGTAGTCACAAACTAAAGATTTCAAATAAAGTCCAAATCGGAGTCTTAATTAAATTCAAAATAGGAGTCTTAGAGTATGTCTAGTACTAATATTTTGGCAAAAAAATAATTTTTATTATCGTTAGCAGTCGATTTTTTGACCAATTCTCTCACATGCGTGTCCCGCCAAAGGAAAAAAGGTTCAAAATTTTATTGTTATTATTATTATTATTATTATTATTATTTTAGTGAAAAAACTGGAGTAGACGGGTGCTTAATGTACAAATCCACTTTGTCAATATCTTATTTAATCACATGCAGAGTCCTGTAACTTCAATCACAATCACAATTAAGTTTACAGTTTTTCTAACAAATACAATTAATCCTTTTAAAAAAAAGAAAAATCACAATCAAATCCTAGTACTTTATACAGCTATCACATGATTCTGACCGGATATATTTTATCCAAACTATAATAATTAGATTTGTCGAGACAAACATAGACTACTCAATCTAATCATTAGTCTTTTTTTTCACTAAAGGTAAAAGACTGCATTGTTGAAATATATAATATCACATAATTCGGTAAACTTATAATTTTGATTTGTTATATGAGTATTTTATTTTGGGAAAATTGCAGTCGAGGTACCAAATCTTTCATTTATTAGTAGACTTTATCCAAACCTTTCATTTGTACCACTGGAGGTACCAAACCTTTCAAAAATCTGCACTCAAAGTCCAAATGGATGAAAACCGTCCATTTGACCGTTATGACCAAGAAAAGTAAATGTTGACCTATTTAGACCAAATTTGAATGGGTAAAATGGTAACTTGATAATTACAGTGTTAATAAATTGAACAAAAAAATCAAGAAAAAATCAAAAAATTAATAAAAGAAATTAAAAAATGGTTGTCTTCTTCAACCTCCTCACCCCATCGCACCCCACCCCACCCCACCATCTTTGTCCCCAATTGCGTGGGTCTACAACTTCTTCTAGCAAAATTACAAACCTTTTTCCACAAATTTCACCATCTTTTCAGGCTTCCTCTTCCTCTTCCTCTTCTTTTATTGGTCTAAATAGCGTTGATTTTTTTCTACACTACCCCCAGAATCTGGTTTTTAGGCACCAGTTCGTGGGCAATGCTCCCATGGTACTTGCAACTATCGACTTTCCTGTTTCAAACAAGACCAAATTAACTACATATCAAGAATTTGATAGGTTTAATGGAAATCCAAGAAAACAAACAGATAAAAAGGATAGACATAGCAAAATAATTACAGCTCAAGGTCCAAGGGATCGAAGAATGAGGCTTTCCATTAGTACTGCATGTAAGTTCTTTGATCTTCAAGAAATGCTAGGTTTTGACAAACCAGGCAAAACCCTTGATTTGCTGCTTACGAATTCGAAAATATGGTGGGGTGGGGTAGGGTGGGGTGGGGTGGGATAGGGTGGGGTGGTAGAAGACAACCCTTTTTTAATTTCTTTTCTTAATTTTTTTATTTTTTCTTGATTTTTTGATTTTTTTTGTTCAATTTATTTAATATTATAATTATCAAATTACTATTTTACCCATTCCAATTTGGTCAGAATTTACTTTTCTTGGTCAACTAACGGTTAAATGGACGATTTCCATTTATTTTGACTTTGGGTGTGAATTTTTGAAAAGTTTGGTACCTCCAGTGACACAAATGAAAGGTTTTGGCAAAGTCTGCTAATAAACGAAAGATTTGGTACCTCGATTGCAATTTTCCCTTTTATCTTTGCCAAATATTCAATATTTAGGTACAAGTAAATGTGATCGTTTTGTCTCTCTAATTATTTTTACTAATTTAAGTACCATTTTCTTCAACTATTTTGTGAACTAATAACGGACTTCAAAATTTAGTCATCGCTAACCAGTAAGCTATAGTTTAACCGTTCAACAAAAAATACTTAAATAACTACTCTACACATTTTTCAAGACGACGTTCTTAACATGAATTCATATTCTCTACTTAACTCATTTTCAAACTTCAAACTCTCCGAGATATTTGACTAATCAAATTAATCTCACTCATTGATGAATCAAATAGTCATTAAAATCACAAAATATATTTATTTATAATCTATTAAGGAATTTCGATGAAATACTCGATGATTAAGTGAAATTTAATTTTTGCATGATCATGATATAGAAATAAACTCAACATATGGTTCATACATTCCAAGTGTATTAATGTCATCCTTAACTAATTATGCGGAAAGAATAAATCGCAAACCCGAATAGTGATTTGATCAACACTACAATATTTCAAGTTCAGAGTGTCCATTGTTGACCTAATGGTTGACTTCTTGTTTTGATTATCACAAACAAATTGCGTTTAATTCTAACAAATTGAATTTAAGTAATTGATAGTGATTATTTATGACACGAAAAATCTAGATCGAGAATCATGCAACATTGGCACAAAACGACAAATGAGCAAGATTGAAGATTAACGAACGAGGAAATGAAAATCGAGCCTTCACGCACAAAATCACATTGGATGAAAAAATTGAAGACATTAGCTATAGATGCATTTTTATATTCAAATGTAAAGGTAAAACACTTTAATATTTTACATCGATTATAGCTCAAACAATTTTTATGCACAAAAATTATCACGACAAACTTTACTTGGATAAAAATTGTTTTTAAATATAAGTAATTTGATTTTTCACAATTAAATCTTTATGAAATTACTTATCTATACGAAGTATATTAGAAAACCTTACAAGTACCTTAAAGAACATTTTTCACGAAAAAGAAAAATTCGATTGGCAAAATAATTGGCCCATCCGGAATTTCAGATGGGGCCTTCCAGACGTCCGGATGTCAGAGACAGCACCCAGCACAGTTTACTTTATGTGACATATAACCTTTTACCAATATTGGATTGACATGATTCTAATTTTATTCAGTATCTAACTAATTATGCTATCCAATCCAATTGGTTTCGTATAAAAATATCAAGTAACGAAAGAGTTATGATTTTTTTAAAGATGAGGCAGAAACTGAAATTTCTTAAGAGACACCAATACTTTAAGTCGCTAACTTTTTTTTTTTGTATACGATGATTTGTAAATTTATTCCTATGACCCATATCTACTTTCAAACATAGTTTATTCATAACGAGTGTTCATAAAACAGATCCACACAATATTTATAGGAATCAAATTTAAAGAAAGTGTAAACATCTCAAAATCAACTAAAGATGTAAATCACCGGCTTCTCCATGACATGTTGCATCATCCTTTACCATCATCTACACCCCAAGAAAAATTCATTCAACTTGTAGGAAGGAAATTAACTCATGAGTTTGAAACTCAATAGATATCATCGGTGCAATTCGTTATCAAATTAGAAATTTCTAACTATAGATTCATACCGTCACACGTAGATGGATTTTCGAACGTCCGAATGTGATGTTCAACGGTCAAATTTTTTACCGTTTGGCAAACGGCTAGTTAATCGTCCGGATACCAAGCGAACGTCCGAATCACTTGTCCGGATCTCCTGATTGGTGGCTATAAATACCTCTCTTTATACTTCTTTTAAAGTAAGCATTCTAGAGTATTAAAGAGAGTTATTTATTGATCTTAACTACCTTGTTTTTAAATCTTTAAGATATCAAAATATTTATTTGTTGAAAATTTTTTTGAGTGAGTAACTTTTTGAAAAATCATATATCTCAATAAAAGTTTTCTACACAACACTTGAGCTATATTCTTTGTGATTTATTGAAGTGTTGTGCCTAATTTTCTCTTAATAATTAGTTGTGTTTATATGATTTGT